CCCTACAGAATTCTTCTTTCCTTTACAAACTATTACATATTGGCTTTTATTGAATCAGATTTAAAGATGGAAAGACTCAATATATTGTTACACATAAAATTTTCATATCTGTCTCCAGCAGAACTAGTCAGAGAAAATTCCATCAAAACATATTTCTTTGATATTTGAATGCCTCACAAATCAAGTAGATATAGCAGAGAATTTGTTCTGAAAAATGGCAAGGGGAAAAATGTTAACATTATGATATCATATAGACATTCTCATGGTTTGATATCAGAAAGCTGTTACTGCATCATGTTGAACATTCAGATTAAAAAATTGAAATTAAAGTAAAACATTTTGAGCTTTTGTTATAATGAATATAATGCCTAATGGACAATTCTGGAGACTGAAGAGTGAAAAGACATATCTTTTGGTTAATGTTAAGCTGACAGCACAAGTAGGATTTAATAAGGTTATGACTCTCAGACAATTTGTCTAAATCTTTTGTGATCTATGCTTAAGGCATCTTACCTTCATTTTTTTTCCTAGAAACATCAAAAATCATCTTCAAAGAAGTTTTCACATTGATTATTGCAGTTACCTGTAGCACATCATGGCTTAGCAGTGGCAATGGAGTTAGGATTCAGTCCCAGTTGCCGTACTAGCACAGCTGCAGTCAGATGTTGCCCTTCTGGGTAAACCTGGGGTGTCATCAGGGGTAACTGCTCTGGACCACATCTAGCTGCATGGAAACCCCTTCCCATGGAAAACTGCTTCTTCGTCCGTACCACCCTAATTTCATACACAGTTAGTCTCTGGCCCAGATTTATCAAAATATTTAGGTTAGAATAACCCGTACTGTTTAAAATGTGTACGCTAGCCAAACCATCTTGACAAAGCCATGGGAAGGCATTTGAATGCAGTCATGCTGCTACGTCTGAGGGGATAGGAGCTTATGACACGAAGCTGGTGAACAGATGGAGTCATGCTGGAAGCACAAAACATTTCATCGGCAGCTGGAAAAACAAGTCCCAACAGTAATCCCACATCAAAGGACTAAAAAAGCAGATAGGATTTCCAGGGATGGAAAAGAAAAGGCCAGAAATTAGTCCAAAATTTTCCAATAGATAAATTTTGGTTAGAAATGCTAGTTCTCCAGAATAAAGTATTTCACTGATCCGTGCTAGTTCTGATCAAAAATAATTGAAAGCAAAAACAGGAAAATAAAAAAATGGTTATGTTTCATGTCCACTGTACTGCAATGGATCATGCTGATATTCCTTTTCATAGTACATTTTCATTTAATTTGTTTAAATTTTATGTTGAAATATACTATAAAGAATACGTATTTTATTAAGATAAAATGTGTAAAATTGAATTCATGTGTAATAGATTTAAAAGTAACACCACAAAATTAAGATAACCTCTTGTGTCAATATAGTTGTATTAACAAATTTAACAGGAACAGTATGGAAATATAAAAAGTAAGGCATAAGTACACTCAAAAAGAAGATTAAAAATCATAAAATCAGTATAATAGACTCAAATTGACGTAACTGATCTCAGTTTTTCTTTTCTGGAAATTTGATTTCTGATAAAATTCTCAGAAGTTATCTCTGTCAGAGAAAAAAATCAAAATCATTATATCAGCCACAAAATGAAAAATGTAACACCAGTACAATCTTGAGCAACTCCTTGGAGATATGTTAGAATAATATAAGAAAAAAAATTGATTCACCTCCTTGTTTGTGGTTAATAAGTGAATTTGATGCACGTAAATTTTAAGGTGCCATTTTGAGTCTTTTCAGTTCTAATTAAATTTGGAAGTCTACTAGAAAAAATATATATAAAAAAGGTGATACCTGTAACTATTTTAATTAACTTTGATTAAATATTGCAAACAGTTTAGTAAACTGAAATTCATTAACAACAATCAGTATGTATTTAATCCTAAACTAGTTTACTTTAAGTATTCAAGAAAGTGAAGACTAAGCTATACTAGTTTTTTTTTTTCCTAAAAATAATCATATAGATAGAATCCTTTGATTCAGAACAACAGAATTAAATTTGACTGTATCTGAGAGCGCAACGTGGGACTCAAGTTTTATGCATAGCAAAGGCAAAAATCTATTTGCTTACAAAAAGTCACAAATACTTATCCCAACACATATCATCGAATGTCAGTATTGATAACTTTTCAAAATATTAAGAGCCTGGATTAAATATGGGCATATTTGCTATGCTCTAATATGATTTGTAAGTGACCAGATACTTTAGAATTTCAAATAATCAAATACAAATTTGATTATTGATTTGGATCTCATTGCTGTTTACTTTCTACGCAAAATCTTATTTTAAATTCATTAATATTTATGTGTTTCACCATACAGTGAAATACATGGAATCCCAGTTTACAACCAGCTAACCATCAAAGACCCTTGGAAAAGATGCACTAACCTTTTCCAGTAACTTGGGAAGAGAATAAAATCCAATTTATATTTTATTCTTATGACCTGAAAATATGCAGAACTAAGAAGTGTCACAAAGTGAGCACTTAAGATTTCATATTGACCTTTCTCACTCAGGAAGGAAGGCAGCTATTCCAACGAGATTAATATATTTAGAGAAAAATACTGCATTTTAGTTAGTATTTTAGTATAAATATATTTCAAAATGTGTTTGGTAAGTTATTGTCTAAAACAAATCTTAATCCTGACACAGGAAATATATTTCTGACAGATAGTATTAATTTTCTCCATTTTTAAGCAACCGTGCTCTTCCGTAGTGAACGGGAGCCTACATACTATCAATAGGAATAGTAATAGTACCTCTCTCTCTCTCTCTCTCTCTGTTTTTTTAAGTGAATGAACCTTCAGTAAGAAAGACCCCATTAAGGCCAGAAAGAGAAAATTACATAGATGTGAAATTTACATTGCTGAGAAAACATATCACAAAATATACCACTGGGAACAATCCCATACTACGAGAACAAAAGGGACTAACTGAGCATCAGGTGGACGTTTCAGACATGGACACTTTCTATTTGATGTTCAGTTGATGTCCAAATGTGAGCTCCACACAGGTCCCATAGTAAGTAAACAACAAATATTTTCACCTATAGAAACTAAAATTTCAGTCCTGAGCTTGAGCTGCCAGACAGAGAAAGCTATCCTTGCTGCATCCTCTGCACCACTTATCAGCTCAATTCATGCACACACTACACAAGATAATTAGCAGCAAATGCTTGAGATCTTAGACCAGATAAGCAGGGCAGAATGGTAGGGGCTGAGGATCATTGACCCCTAATTTCAGAACTCATTTTGTCCAGCTGAGATGTGTATTTCTACTCCCTGCTTTGTGGGGCCGGGGGAAAGGCTCCTGCCACATGGCATGAGAAACGTTTATTTGTTTCCAGCCTCAGAGCAGCCCCTTGTTCTAAATGCGATGGTTATATTGAATGACAGGAGTATTCTGCTGATTAAGCATGCTCCAATCAGAACAACTGACCGAGCTGATGTTTCAGGGCCTTGAAGATTTTGTACAAACAAGTCAGACAATTATTCTCAAATGAAGATGCCTAAAGTGAATTTACCCATCAGAAAACCAAGAACAAGAACAAAATCTGTATATCTTGAACAGCAACCTAATCAATCAGCCCTTCAGCAGCTGTTAACATACATTGATGTTTTGTTTGCATTGATCTATGTCAAACAGTTTAATATTGGACATTTGTTTTCACTGCTGGATAAAATAGTGTCCCATAAAGTTTACCATTTCTCTTGGAAGAAGTGAAACATTTCTACTAGAAAAGGTTGTCAATACAGGAACTCATTAATCTTTCTTCAAAAGATAATTTACATCTCAAACAACGCTACCACCAAATAAATATGCAGCATGACTTCTTGTATTCTATAGAGCTATAGAGCTATAGAGCTATATAAACTCAACACAAGGACATCATTAGAGGCCTCAGCCCTTTTGAAAACATACAACTGTTCCTGCACTGTGGGTATCATGCTTGCAGGTATGAAGTATATGTGTGTGAGAATGCTTCTCCCCTTTCCTTCTCAAGAAGGATTTCAGAACAAGTCTAACTCCCTAGGTGGCTGCTTTGGTAATGAATCACTAGCTAGAGGGAGTAAATCTGCAGTCCTTAATGGATTAGAAATTTCAAGTAGAATCTACAGGTGCTCTGCATACAGACTTCATTGACTTTATGTTCTTGTAGTTATTTTCCTGCCATGCTCTGTACTTCCAATTGCCCTGCTGGTTTTATTCTCAGCCTTTCCAAGTCTTCATAGACATTCTCATTCCTTTCTATACCAGAATTTCTGATACTATCTTTTGGAATGCATTTAGCTCAATTTTCTTTTTCTCTTTCTCTATCTTCTTTTCTTCCTTCACCATACCATTAAGTTCTGTGAATAATCAGCTCCCAGGTTTTAACACTAATGATAATTTTAATGCTAATAGTAATGACAGGCAAGCTAGTTTCTGTTCCTGGAACTTCGTCTAAACTATTCTCTCAAAACCTATAAAAAGCACCTTCAACCCACATTTGAAGTTTCATCCTAAGCTGATCCTCTTTGATCTCTCCACAATGTTGAAATCTTTGATTACTCTTACCTGCTGTCTGCTATTAGTTTTTGATGGTCTCATCTTTGCAAGAATAATATTTCAAAGTGCATTTTCTTCTTTCAGTTGGCAATGGCACCTTAGCTTACGCTATTTATATCTCATACTCAAGTGTTCCACAATATATTTCAAAGTATCAGAAATTCAAACATGTTTTTAATCAAGGAATGTGAATGATCTTTTACATGCAATATGACGGCAGGTATAAATTACCGAAGTACGACTCAATCCAGTTTAGTCAATATTCCGAGTTACGTTTTATGTCAGTTGAGGAACAAAATGCTCAAGTTTGAACGCCCACACTCACCTTCCCTGAATTTGGTTCCTCCAAGAACTATGGCAGATATGCCAACAGATGAGGACAACAGCCAGATACAAATATTGATTATCTTTGCCTTGAGAGGAGTACGGAAGTCCAGAGCCTTCACAGGATGACACACGGCAATGTATCGATCAACACTCATCATAGTCAGTGTGAATATGCTGGTAAACATGTTATAATAGTCAATCGAAATAACTATTTTACAGAGCACATCCCCAAATGGCCAAGAGTTCATCAGGTACTCAGTGCTCTGGAAAGGCATAGTAGTGGTAACTAGTGCATCTGCCAACGCCAGATTGAAAATGTAGATGTTGGTAGCTGTCTTCATCTTTGTATATCTGAGAAACAAAAAACAAGTCTTTATTACGCCAAAATAGTGTTAAGTCACTACATTCAAATACGCAACAGTTTGTCAGGGAACCTTTGCCATAGTTAGTTTTTTACTATTTTTTCTAATTTGTGTAGAAGGGCCCACACATTCAAGTCCATTGGGTTAATAGTAAATGCATTTCACCCAGTCCCTCAGCAACTGCATTATCCGTTAGAATTGTTTATCGCCGACAAAAGCAAATATTTAGATTAATTTAATCCAGCTTATCCAAATGCTGGTGTCAATTCCATCTTCTCAAATCCATCTACAAACAAATACCATTGCTTACATTTGGAAGTGACAGAACAGTTTTCAACTTCCCTTACTTATAGCTAACTATTGATGATTACCAGCTTTGTGGGGTTTTTTTAATGAAGGTAATAGGCATCCCATTCTCTGGTAAGAATCTGTGTTAACCGTTATGTCTGATGAGCCAGATTCTTTCCTACAAGGTAGTTGTTCTTGCTTGAATTCATTGCAACGATGCCAGCTTGTACGAGTTTTAGCAGCTCCTCTCCTTTGCTGCTACCTTTCCAACTGCTCCTCCTTTCTTATCCTCAACTTTTCCCAGTTGTCATGTCTTTATTGACACAGAATGGAAAATATGGTGATTGTTTAAGCAAGAAATCACAGTGGAAAAAAAAAAGAAGATCATAGCAATATTTTCGCTGTATCCTTTAATTTCATTAAGATGAAGTATTTGGTAAGAATCTTACCCTACACAGAACAGTAGGATACAGTTTTTGAGATGGCACGCTGCCTTTGCTCTGCCACAGTGATAATCTAACTGCTAGGGCAACAGATTGTGTTCCAGAATGCAGAAAACTGCTTCCAACTCTGCTATGGACACAAAGTGTGAAGGAGAGAGACCGCCCCTTTTCCCCGTTATTAATATAGAGACATATCTAACACTCCTTCCTGAAATGCTTCCTTTTTCTTAAGTAGTTACTATTCCTCTTTGGCATTAGTTTATTATGAGGTTCAGTGACAGATTTCCCTTACTCATAACTGTTTCACCTACATTGACTGTGTCCCCTGAGTAAAAGGTGCACAGGTGAAGTGTAAATCATTAAGTAATTTACATATGGAAATATAAAACTTGGTCAGTCCAGCTAATGAACGCTATACAGTGTAATGTGGCTACCTGCCTTTCAATGTGTAGCATCAAAAATAATTGCAAAAAATCTTCAGCAGTATTTCAGAGTACTGACAAATGAGCCTGTCAAGTAAGTTAGCTTTTAATTAAAATATGAACAAAAATGTCATTTTATGACCAACATAAAGCCTTACATAAAACCATCAGTTTTTCTAAATCACTCAGATTACAACTTGTTGAGAAAATAAAACCAAATGTTGCTTTAAAGCACAGAAAAGAGAACTGCAAGGGAAAAGAAAGCAAACTCTTCTCATTCAGATGCCAACAAGTTATACCCTGTCCCTCTACAAACTGCTGCAAACGGCTGTAAGATTCCTAATACTTGCTTCCCAGGAGTGTGTTTTCTGCTGTCTGATGAACAGTCCAAATGAAGGCATATATCTTGAACAAAGCCACAGCAAGTGATGCATTAAGGATATCTGGTCAAAGACAATCAGAAGGAAGCAGCAACAAAAGCTCTACACTCATTACATGATCCCCAGTGGTCTAGTCTCCCTCTGCCCCACTTTGAACTTCTCCAAGATCAGAGGCAGAGCAGAGGTAAGAGCACACACACCAGCTGGAGCTGGGCATCCCTAGCTCTTCCAGATCAATGTCCCAAACAGGCCTTTCATCACGTAAGGCGTGCTTTCCTGGAGCTCACATTGTAGCTGGTAAGACACTGTTGAAACACAAATGCAAGTGTATGTAGCTAGGATGAACAAATATAAGACGCATAAACAGACCAGGAATTTTCCTCCTGGAAAAGAAAAGCAGCTCTGAATGCAACCCAACTGTTAGACTGAATGAAAACTCACTAAAAGCTCAGATTACAAATCTGTGCTAAAATGGACTCATTTCCATTAAATGTCTGAAAAAGGACATGTATAAAGGCAATTTTACTTCTACAGATAGCACTGATGAAATTTGGAATTGTTGTCTTGTCCGCAATGCAAAAAAAAAAAAAAAAAGATTGGAAAGTACACATAAAAGTCAAAAATAACTGGAAGGACTGGAGAAAAATTTTACCATGAGTAGCTTAAAGAGCTCAATACATTTAGTTTATCAAAAAGAACTCTGAGAGGTGACTTGATTACAGTGTCTAAAGACTTCCACAGGGAGAAAATAGCAGGTGCTGAAGAGCTCTTTCAGACTGCAGAGAAAAGCATTACAAGGAGGAATATCTAAAGTCAAAGTTAGACAAACTCAGCTTAGAAACAACGATGGATTTTTCCTAACGACTAGGGTGATTATTATTTGGAACAAATTACACAGGAAAGGAGTAATTTTTCCATCTTTTGATGTCTTCAAATCAATGTCTGATGCTTTGCAAAAAGTTATGCTTTAGTCAAATATAAGTGACAAGGCTTAGTGCAGAAATATTTAAATGAAATGGAATGACCTTTGATAAACAAAAGTTAAATAATTAATAGTTCTTCTGAATTATTGCTTCTGTTTATCTTTCATAGCTTTTCCAAAAGTTTGGGTAAGGACAGTTTGCTATTGCATATACAAAAATTTCTTTTATCTTTCTCCTTTAAATGAAAATTGGAAAATTACAATGAAATATAACTCCTATATGTGCCTATATAGTATATACCATATACTCCAATAATAAAAGAAATGTACTAGATTTGACAAATTAGCTACCTGAAAGCCTTTATATCTGGTATTTCCTGTGCCTTGCAACTTTAATTCAAATTATTTTTGTGTGTGACACTGTGATATAGTTTAATTATGTGATCATATACTATATTTTCCCTTTATCCCCTTTCCCTCTCTTCCAGTGGGGAATAGGAAAGACCCTCTGTAAAACAGAATTAAATTTTTAGGCAATTGCAAGATTCAAGCTTTTGAAGCTGGAACATCAATCATGTCCTCTGAGCATATACATATTTTATATGATATTATGCACTTAAAGTGAGCAGTTTTGATTTCTTAGACTACACAATGCACACATATAAGGAAATAAATTTTTCTCACTACACTGAACCAGCAGGAAGGGTGTTTTAGCATTCGCAGATAATTAGTAATATAGTTTCATCCAATCATCATCATTTAGACAACCTTCAATGTAGCTGAATTGAAGCTATATATGAGAGAGAACATATAATGCAAAAAACATGCACAGCATGCCATCCCACCAGTAAAGCTCTTTGAAAAGCTTTGGTTTTTTTCCAGCGAGACAGGCATCTAACAACCCCATCTTTGATGACCTTACCAGCTGTGCACCTAATGCTTCCCTACAACTCACCAGCCTGGCATTCCCATGGCTAGCTGACTGGGCCTAAAACCATATGGAGAGAGCAAATCTACCCGGGTTCACAAACCACAGCCAGGTGCTTCTTTGCCCAGTTCACTCCAGGCCAGAATAGGCATCTGTTAAACAGGTTCAGATCACTTCTCTGTCAAACCTATGAGGAAGACCAGGGCTCTAATCTTTGCTCCAATAAATACTTAATTACATTTAGGTAATAAATCCTCCCTTCCCACAGAGGGATCTTAGGTACCTAGCTCAGTGGCAAAGGGCACACTGGTCAAACACTGCAATGCTAAATCCAAACATGTTTTACTGAAGTGCCTTAAATCTCACTTACCTCACACTAGCAATGCAAAGCGCTCAGTTGCTCTCACTTGAAAGCAATGGCCTCCATGTAAATGAGATGTCAGCCTTTAAGGTTGATAGGCAATATGGATCAAATCATACAGTCATTCAGATGTTCATAAGTTCAAAAATGCCTTCGAGGATCTGGATTTAGTCATCTAAACTCCTTTTGAACTATTTGAATTAAGCATCTAAAATTGCTGAATGCCTAGATACTCCTGAAAATTTGCACTTACAGCATTAATCAAAAGTCCAGTTAAGTTAATAAAATGACTGCTGTTGCTGTCAGACACTTTGAAGTGGAGCCTGATAGAGTCTTGACTCTAACATAAGGTGAGAGATTTGATTTACTGCTTTTCTACAACCTCATTTTATGGCACTAAAATATAGGAGGTAATACTGTGTGTGGTTTGGGGTTTTCCCCCTCCCCTGGCTCACCCAAATCTGCACTTAAACAAGGTGAAAATATTGATGGAGTAAGGGAATCATGTTTTCCTTTGCAAAATTGAAATTATTGTTCAAATAGATGAATTTGATTTAAGGGGAAAATACTACTACCTGCTTCAATTAAACAAGTGGAGCAGATATGGGAAACCCGAGCATAACTGCAGCATAGATGACACAGTGGTAATTAATGACAAGCATTATCTTAGCATCTTTGAAATACTTCAAAGACCGTTAAAATAATTATAAACCACTGCTGTATAAACCATTTACTATAAATTATGTGTCCAGAAAATGGTTTGCTAAATGCTGGGTTGTTAAATGCACATAACAAGGTGACAGCTTTTCTGGTACTACGAATGAATGGAAGATCCCTCTTTTAAATTAGATGCTAGAATCTAATTTCAAGAGGCAGAGTAACTTCTGATGACTTAAGCGAATTGGGGGATCTTGAGACTACTTACTAAGCTGTAAGGGTTCAAGCTTCTGTGGGATGTAATCAACTGGAAGTTATATGGAAACCCAGCAGAAAAACAGAGTCAAGATGAAGATGAAATCTTTGGTTTGGATGTATTTTTGTATGGATATATGATGATGATTTTTCAGGAGCAAGGTTAAAATGATATCTGCTTACATATCATAAACAACATTCTCAAAACCATCATAACTTAGCCTAGCTTCTGTTTTCAAAAATGAATTCTCCAGGATTGGCTTTAGATTCATCTCCACAAGTCCTCATTTCACTTATTATTACTGTACTTTCCTTCCTGGATCAGGATTTACT